AAGCCTCCGGGCGGTTTGGCCAGAATCTCGAGGTCTGCTTTTTGGTTTGTTTTATTTGCTATTGCTGTCATCTAATTGCTACTCATTGCTTAAACATTCATAAAACAAGAACTTTAGTAAGGGGTTTGTATTACTTTCTGAGGGAGAAAAATTATTGATTATAATTTTCGACAGCATATCAGTCATAATGATACATAGTGATACCCATGAAATAACAATTATATTAATATTATGGAGAAAAGCATCAATATTATCAGTCAAAGAAAGGGGAGATTAATGACAGAAAAAAATACCGGAATAACATGACAATAGCACTGATAATGATAATAATAACTGATAATCATAATGATGATAACTGATAATCGTAATGATACAGTAACTGATAATGATAATAATGATAATGATAACTGATAATGATGATAATAAAAATAATAATAATAATAATAATCGTAATAATAATGATAACGGATAGTGATAAGGGCATATGAATATGAGAGCATTTACATTAAAAACAAAAATAATAGTAAACATGATAATGAAAATGATGATACTTAAGATAATTATAAAAAGGACAATTATTATGACAATTATTTTAATAATAACAATGATGATGGTAGTGTAAACACTAAAAATATTGATAGTAATTGTAATAATGATAATAGCAATTTTGATAATGATAATGATAATAATAAGGATGGTACTAACAAAAATGATAATGATAATAATGGTAAAGACATTAATGATAATGATAATAATAACAACAACATCAATAATGATAAATATTGATAATAATAATGCTTATAATAGTAATGATTATGATAATGAGGATAATAGCAAAGACAATAACAATAACAGAAATTGTAATAATGTTCATTATGATAATAGTAATCATAATAATAATGATAATCATGATAATTGCAATAATAATGATAGCTATAATAATGATAACAATAATGATAAGGATAATAATGATAATAGTAATAATAAGAATAGTAATAATGATAATAATAATAACAACAACAACAACAATAATAATAATAATAGAAATAATAATAATAATAATAATAATAATAGTATTGATAATAATGATGATAATAATAGAAATAATGATAAAAATACTGATAATAACAATAATGATAAAAATACTGATAATAACAATAATGATAACAATGATAATAATTATAACAATAATAATAATAATAACAATGACAAAAATGATAATTATTATAGTACTGATAATAATCATCACAACAGAAATTGTAAGGATAATAATCATTATGATAATAGTAATCATAATGTTAATAATAATAATGATAATGATAATGAACATATCAATAATAATAATAATAATAATAATAATAATAATAATAATAATAATAATAATAATGATAACAATAATAAAAATGATAATTATTGTGATGATAATACTGATAATAATGATGATAATAATAATAATAATGATAGTAATGATAATAAGGAGAACAACAACAATAACAATAATGATAAATAATGATAATGCAATTATGATGATAAGAAAAGGATAGTAAAATGATAATAAAAATAACAATAAAAACAATTATAATAATAATAGCAATGATAATAATAGCAGTAATTGCAATTGTGATGATAATAATGATAATAACGATAATGATAACAATAATAATGATAACAATAGTAATAATAGTTTATCCAAAGAATATTGCTGACGATATTTAGACTAATAGTAATAGCAATGAAAATCATAACAATAAAAACAGTGAGATTTGGAGAGGATAACCGGTAATAATATTAGTGATAATGATAATGATTATAATAATGGTAAATGATAATAAAAACAATAATATACAAAATGATAAGAGTAGTGGTAGTGGAAAAAATCATCAATAATTAAGATGAATATGATGACTACTATTAATACTATTACTAATGAAGATGATAATTATGATGATAATATGAATGTCAGATATATGATTATGATAACCATAACAATAGTAAAATGAAAATGAGGATAAGAACACGGATAATACGGAAAACTAATAGTAATGGCAATGTTAATAATAATGATAATGGTTACAATAAGGATGATAATTATAATATTAATAATAACAATGATAATGATAATAATAATAACAAAATAACAATAAGGATAAGGATAAGGTAAACAGTAACAAGAAATAATGATAATGATATCATATAATAATAGTAATAATAATAATAATAATAATAATAATAATAATGATAATAATAATAATAATAATAATAATAATAATAATAATAATAATAATAATAATAATAAATAATAATAATGATGATAATGACAATAACGCAATGATAATAACAATAATAGTAATAAAACAACAAATAGATTATTATTATCATATCATTATCATATTATAAATCGTATTATTATTATTATTATTATTATTATTATATTATTATTATTATTATCATTATTATTATTATTATTATTATTATAATAATGATGATTGTTGAAAAGGCA